ATGATGAAAGCAATGTACTGGTGCTTCCCTTTGTCGCTCTCGGGATTTTCATCCAACTACAAAAGCAAAAGTGGCGCAGAACAGAGTCGCCAACAATGTGTATTTATCCCATAAGAGGGAAAGGAAATACTGCATAAACCCGAGGGAAGGAAAAGCATGGTCATCACGACCAAGAGAAACGGGTAAGGGAGTCGGTTACGTGATGGGAAGGTGTTAGCACCCCACACGTCCATCGTACTCGATGGGATCCACACTTGCTATCTAATCTATGGGTGTAAACTCTAAAGCTCTAAATGCACGCAAAGGAAAAAGAAAAGAAAATTTGGGAAAAAGAAAAGAAATATTTACAAAGATATGCTCGATAGGGCCCCACAAAAACCTCCGCCTACATATCCCTTTTAAGGAAACAGAGTAGTTGTAGCGCGGCTCAATAATTTCAATTTGTTTGTGTTTTTTTAGTTAAGAAAACAAAACATCAAGAAAGATGGCAAAACATCAGACAAGACGACAAAACATCAGATAAGACAATAAAATATCAAACAAGATGGAAAAACATCAACAACGATGACAAAACATCAGACAAAATAGCAACATATCAACAATGATGACAAAACATTAGGTAAGATGGAAAAACATCAACAACAATGACAAAACATCAATAATGACAAAACACCACACCTAACAGTGATATTGACAATCAAAGTAGGATAGCAAACATAAGCGATGGCAAAACATCGACACAAGGACAACAAAACATCATGGAAAAGATAGTAAAATATCACAGGAAAGATGACAACACATCATGGTAAAGACGATAAGACAACGTAGCATGGATGACAAAACATCACAACATGGATGGCAAAACATCACAACATGGACGACAAAACATCAAAACATGGATGACAAAGCATCACAACATGGATAGCAAAACATCAAAAACATGGATGGCAAAACATCACAACAGAGATGATAAAACATCACACCTAACAGTGATATCGAAAATCAAAGTAGGATAACAAACATACGTGATGACGAAACATTGGTGCAATGATAGTAAAATATCATGGAAAGGTTGACAAAACATCACAACTTAGATGATAAAACATCACACTTAACAATGATATCGAAAATCAAAGTAAGATAACAAACATATGCGATGATGAGACATCGACACAAGGATGGTAAAATATCATGGCAAGGATGACAAAATATCACAACTTAGATGATAAAACATAACACCTAACAATGATATCAAAAATCAAAGTAGGATAACAAACATACACGATGATGAAACATCGACACAAAGATGAGAAAACATCATAACATGGATGATAAAATAACAACCTAGCAAGGTCTAAAGAAAAGCCAACAGGCACAAAACCTAATAAGCTTGGTTTGTATTTTTTACCTTAGAAAAGGATTTAAATTTTGTTAGAGTGTTTTGAAGTTTGAAAGAAAAAGAAGGTTTTATTTTTAAATGAAACATGCAAAAGAGAAAGACAAAGACTAAGGGAGACTAGAAAAATAGCCCTATAGTTGTCATACAAGGATGGCCCTGTGTCAAGGATGAAAGGGGAATATCTACCTAAGAGGACATACATGGATAACTATCCTAATGTCTAGCTCGAGGACTGATCCTAAACGAGAAATCCTAAGGGAGCATGGTAAATATCTCATAAAAGAGACGCGAGAGCAGTCATACTATCATAAGAGAAAGTACGAGAATGGATGTCGAAACATCCAAAGGGAAATGGCAAAACATCACAGATCCTATGACAAGAATCAAATAAACAGATGGCAAAACATCTGAACAAAAAAAAGCTCGAGCATTACTCGAATATTAAACACCTACAAGGCACATGCCAAGTAGTAAAAGGGTAGGTCCCTCCATAGACAAGCAACCAAGCATTAGACCAAGGGTCAAGCCATAGCCAAGGGGAGCGAATCACCCGAGTCAACCAAGCCATAAAACCGTGGAAATATAATAGGTTCTTGACCGCGGTATGAATTACCAGTCTTGACTTCTGATATTGTGTGTGCTAAAATTTTAATTAGAATCAGAGCATGCATCCTTTTCTGTTTATTAGGTGAGATTCAGGGATATACTTTCTGAAACTATGGAGAAAGAAGGAGGTTATAACAACAAACCACCTATGTTGGATGGTTCAAACTATGTCTGGTGGAAGGTCAGAATGGTAGCTTTTCTGAAACCTATGGATAACAAAGCTTGGAAGGCTGTTTTAAAAGGATGAGAGCATCTAGTTGTGAAGGACAATGATAGGAAATAATCTATAAAATCTGAAGAAGACTGGGATGAAAATGATGATAAATAAGCTATTGAAAATTCCAAGGCTTTAAATGCTCTATTCAATGGAGTAGACAATTTTTTTTCAGGCTAATCAATACATATATTGTAGCCAAGGATACTTGGAAAATTCTCAAGACAAATTATGAAGGTACCTCTAAAGTGAATATTTCAAGACTTCAGCTTCTCACTTCCAAATTCAAGAACTTGAAGATGAATGATGATGAGACAATTCAGGAATATCAGATGAAGATTCTTGAAATTGCTAGTACATCAAGTGTCTTGGGAGAGAAGATGTCAGAAGCAAAGCTGACCAGAAAGATTCTTAGGTCCTTACCTAGGATATTTGACATGAAGGTTACAGCTATTGAAGAAGCTCAAAATATCAAAGTATCCTACATCTTGCCTAAGATTTGATAAGTTACTTTCAACAAATTAATGTACATTCCTTTAAACAAATTAATGTCACTGTGCTTCAGATATTATGCTCAATTTAGGTGTTTTTTTAAGCATCATAAAGTTGTTATTCATTATAAATTTTGTAAAATAACATTTGATTTTTTATCAATATTCAATATGGAGAGACATTCATCTTGAGAGTGTTCTTCATTGGAGAGAGAAATGGATAGACACTTACAAAGGGGCCTATGTCGATGTGAAAGACGAGACACAGAGGATTTTATGCACCGTCTGCAGGAAATTTGACATGAAGCATTGAAGAAATCCTTACGTGAATGAGGGAAGTCGTAATATACAGATGAGTGTGTTCGAGGAATATAGCCATAGTGGAGGATGATTGTCATCAAATGAGGAAGTTGTAAGTTGTTGTCGAACCCCCAAATATTTTGATAGGATACTTCTACATAACTGTGTTATGTATCAGTATTTGAAACTGTTTAGTTAAAATGTAAATTAAACATTTATTTTAAGTGTTATTATTTTGGTATGTTTAAGTGAATTGTTTTTCCTACTGCAATTTTTATGTGATTTTGATTTTTGCCTTTATTAATTTCGTGTTAAACTTCATGCATATTACATGATTGAAGGTCATTTATTAATCAACTCTTCAGGAAAGATTTATTATTTTTTATTCATAACATAATAAAATATTAAATTGTTTATTATATATTCAATTTGTTGGGATATAATGCTCCACTCTTTTAAATAAATAAATTTATAGTTGTTATGTGATTGAGATGTATGACTATAAAACTCATATGAAATATATGGGAATAAAAAAATATGGATGGTTTATTTAATATTCAAAGTTTTATTTAAAAATTCTATATATATATATATATATGATGTTAAACATTAGTTAGTTGTTGTTTTTGTGGTTGATCTGTATGAGTTAAAGAGTCATATTAAATGTGTTGTAACCGGTTTTGAAATGAGAGTCGCCATCCTTAATTTTTATCTTTAGGAAGAGAATATAAAAGATAACCCTAATTTAGTCAGAGATTCTAAGTTGTTGGACTCGTTCTTAGATGAAAGGGAGGTTGGACTCGTTCTTAGATGAAGGAATGGTTTTAGACACCCCTCATCTACCTTGTTCACAATGATACTAGGGTTTAGAATTACGGCTTTAGGAAATAGGGTTTTAATTTTTATTAGGGGAACTCGCCACGATTTTAGTTGTATGCATACGTATCCTCTTATGAGGAATCAGAGTTTCAATTTGTAGTTCGTAGTTGGTTGGTGTTTTTTATAGATTACGTAGAATTGCTTTCGAACTTATCCTTGAACCTTGTCTGGGTTGTAAATTGAGTGATCGTAGACGCAGCTCGTAGTTAATTTTGAAAGTAATTCTCCTTAATCCTTTCTTCAAAAATAACCTTGTAGTTTTTATTATGTTAGTAAAAAAAAGTGATTTTTGATTGGTTAGCTATATTAAGACGTAGAGCGGAGGAAGTCTGATATAGTCTCCTCATCATGTGGCCAAATATTGGCCATGTGTTGCTCGCGGATGATAAATTTAGTGAGTTGCGTGGATTTTAATAATTTAATGTTGAATAGTTAATGGATAAGGCGTTGAACCAATCAAAGAATATGAAGAATGTATATCCACAAATCCTGTTATTTGTAACATATTTGAATTAATTAGTTTAAAAAAAAAATTCTCCAAAATGATTAATCCTAAATAATTTAAATTACCTACAAAGAGGTGTTTTTTTCTCTATACTACACTAGCGAAACAATATCATGTGAATGGCAAGGGCTAAAGCCCAAGATCAAGGCCCAAATAAAAAGTAAAAACAAAACCATAAAAATAATTTTAGTTTTAACAAACAAATAAGTAAACATAAAAAAAATATAAATTAAATTAATTAAAAAAATGAAAGAGAAAAACATGCAGGCAAATTCAACACCCATAATATCAAGTCTCCAACTTGCCTTTTGTTATCCAATCCGCAGGTGACACATGTTGGTTGGTAAGAGAGAAATAATAATAAAAAAGAAAAAAAAACAACAACAATACATACAACATATGAAAGAGAAATCATAACACTATTTCTCTTCACTCAGTTTTTTTTCTCAGAGTGAAGAGAGATCATTTAACACAGGTGATTCATGAAAGAGAGATCAGAAACTTGAAGGATGCGTCGTCGGATGCGTAAGGATGGTGGTGAGATGAGATCTCACGGTGGTCAGTGGTGAGAGTCGGTCAGAGCTTGAAGGATTGCGGCGGTGTGGGATGTTGGCAGTGTCGATCTGGAATGGTGTGCCATTTGAAGCATATCGGTTTGCCGGAGTTGGAGGCGCGACGGGCATTGGTGACATCAACGGTGGTGGCTCCACGTTTGTAGCGGTCTTTGCATGCAGATCAAAGGTGGAAACTCGTACGGGGTCTGCAACTCTGTTTTGTTTTGATTTTGTTTTTGTTCTCCAATCTTTGCTACTGTATTTCTTTTATGAAGGTTTGTCGAATGTTGTTTATGTTGATGAAAACAATGAAGAGATTGTGATTTTATTAAAATTATGATGAATGCAATGTTACTGATGGAAGTGTTTCCGGGAAAATGGTTGTGAGATACATTCAAGTTTGTGTTTAGCAAGCTATAAAAAAAATGTAATTATACTAATATATAACTTTTATGCATACATGTCTTTGTGTGGAATATTATAGTGGATGTGTGTAGTTAAGAGTAAAAAAGTCTCTTTGAGAGTAAATGTCATACGAGTATAAGGATGAAGGTTATTTAGTGAGTGTAATATGTATATGCTTTTTTGGCGTGTAAAAATATGTTAAGCCTATGTATATAACGGGACTTAAAAAAAACATTGTGATATGTAAAAAAATAGTGTTTTTTAATTGTGAGAGTGCAAGAGCATGGGTCGAAATTTTTTTAGTAAAAAGTTAATACAATAACCATCAGCAAAATTCATCATATATTTGGATAGACAAAAAAAAAAAAAAAAATTAAATAGGAGTTAAAATTGTAACGCACAAGATTCAAACTCACAATCTCATGTCTACAAGCTTCATTTCTTACCAACCATGCTATGTTACTTATTCAAAATAAAAAATCAATTGAAAGTACATGAAGATGAGTAAGTATTTATTTTCTCAAAAATATAAATAATCTGAAATAAATTATTATACTTTTAAATAGGTTTGGAAGCGAATATTTATAAAAATCAAATAATATTATAAAACTGTTGAAAATATTTTTGACCGTAGAAATAAATGACAGACAAATTTGGAGTATGACAAAATGTGCAATAATGAAAAAAATAAATTGTATGATTTGTTTAATCTATTTAATATAAATTTAAGATTGTCATAATGACAACCCTAGCCACGTGTCATCGTGATAACAACTCTTGGTAAAAACTCTAATCTATTATTTATTAATTTACTCCTACATTAAAAATAAATAATAATAATAATAATAATAATAATAATAATAATAATAATAATAATAATAATAATACTAATAATAATAATAATAATAATAATAATAATAATAATAATAATAATAATAATAATAATAATAATAATGAGATCTCGACTGCTCTTAATAGTATTAGAGAGAACAAAGCTCTGGGGTGGATGATTATGTTGAAATATTAAATTAGATTTGTTAAAATATTATATTAGATTTGATTTAGTATTTAAATATAATTAAAATTGTGTTGATTCAAGCCCAATTAGGATTGTATATAAATAGTCATAGTCTTTATCATTATTTGTACAATTCAATAATATAAATCCTTATTTCCTTTATTATTCCCTCTTTCTCTCCTCACAAAAGTTCCTCACGCACTAACAAATTGGTATCCAGAGCTTCTGGTTATTGTTCTTGATCGAGTTTTCAAGAATTTCACGTTAGAGATCGTGTTTCTAGGACAAGTGAATAAACTGCTGCGAAGATGACTAGTGATAAGGGCATTTCAAATTCTCTTCTAATGCTTGACGGCAAGAATCGGACCTGATGGAAAAACATATGCAAACCTTATTTGGCTTCCACGAAATGCTAGAAGATTGCAAGGCTGCTTATTGCATTCAGACGACAGTTGATGCTGCTAATTTCGACAAAATCTCTTGAAATTCTGGCTACAGATACTCAATGTCACGTCCAATGTTATGACACGGTATCTGACTTACTATATGACAGTAAATACAAAAGCAGTAAATAACACAGTCAATTGTTTACCCAGTTCAGTGTGCAACAACACCTACTCTGGGGGCTACCAAGCCAGGGAGAGAATCCACTATAAGAGATGTTAATTCAGGAATAAACCAACCAGTTTATCTCCTTCACTTAAGACCTACCCAATGCAATTCTAATCTAAGTACAACTTAAACCTGAGTTCCTACTCACTCCCCCTCAATCACAGCAGTGATACATAAACCAATTTGACTTGAGAATTGATGAAGACACTCTTCAAAACACACACTTGATTAAGCTTCACAGCTTTTCAATCAAGTAACACAATCACTCGTGCTTCACAGCTTTGAGTGATGTACACACCTAACTTGACTCTGCTTCACAGCTTTAGTCAAGTAACATTCAAACACTCTTGCTTCAAAGCTTTGAGTGCTACACAACCCTTACAACTGAAACCTATTCCAAGGCACTTATCACAATGATAATTGCTTGGAGTACAATAAACAAATCTATACAGATTACAAAATTGATCTTCTAATCAATCAGCAGGGATCGCCTCAAAAAACCGCAGCTCTGTTTGAATATATAGCAGCTGCAACTTCAGTTAGGGTTTCCAAAAACCTAGGGTTGATTCTGTTTGACCTTAAGACCAGGTCACAGTACTTTATTGATCAGGTTAGGATTGAGCTAGGTTACTCCTCAGAAAACGCAGGATTCTGTTTAGGAAGGACTGAGTTATTTCCTGAAAAAACTCAGACTTATCCAATCCTGTAATCCTGCTAGTTCAGAACAGGATGTCATAACATCTGTTATGACATCTGAGAAAACCTGTCTACTGATTAGCAAAATGTGATCATTTTGCAAACATGCTCAGATACACACTTATAAACATCAGTATTTGAGTTACAATATTTTTCTGCACATGTACCTAAAGAGTTAGTACAACCTGAACTAGAATGTTATGACATCAGTCATGACATTCACACATACACTTGGAATTTACCAAAAATGCAAGCCAATACCTAAACACCTACAAACTCCCCCTTTGGCAGATTTTTGGCTAAAGTCCCTAAACAATCAGAGATAGATAGATAGCAGCAGAAATAAGTGACAGCAGAAAAATATAGTGTTAAGTACTAATTAAGCAGTACCAAAAACCAAAAATATTCTCCCCCACTTTAGCCACAAATGGGCCAAAGATTACATGTTTATAAAGTTATACAGTTATCCAAGACAAAATAATGAGATCAGCAGCAGACAACAGCAGAACATACTTCCAAACTCCACCAGCAACACCACCAAGCAGCAATCATCCTTCAAGGACTGTCATCAGATCCAGAGAATTCAGGCTTCTTTCTTTTCTTGTGAGCAATGTCAGCATTTCTCTCTTTGTTTGATGTCTCAACATTCTTAGAGACATTTGGATTTGTTTCAGCATTTGAGTTTTCTTGGTTCAGAGGAACAGAAATGCCAGGAACTGAGTGGTTCTCGTTCAGAATTCGGGAAACAATTTTTGCTATTGCTTGATTAACATAGGCTGTCCCTTCCCTATTTGCAATTTCAGGGGGAACTGAAGAGGAAGGATGAGATGGATTACCTGTATGTCTTGTTCTCAACTCTTTGGCCTTGGTGGAGTTAATTCTATGAGAACAGATCTCCAGAACATCAGAGTCCAGACAGGAAGAGATTGTCCCAGAATCTTGATCAGATGAAGAGGTTGAGATGGTCGTATTGGATGATGATGGCGTTTGAGACATTTTGTCAGTTTTGAAGGACCAACAGCAAATGAGAAGAAATTCCTGATTGATGAGAAGACGAGAGAGGAACGAAGCAAAGGAGTGCCTATTCAACTTCTTAAAACAGTTGTAGGAAATGAGAAAATACAATTTTAAACCAATCAGAACAGGCATAAGTCCTTTGGTCTTTGTTTTAAGCAAAATTAATTGCTACAATTCCTCATGTTGGCAAATACCCAGCTTACCCCTTAAGTTTTCAAATTGATTTGCATCCAAAGCCTTGGTAAAAATGTCAGCCAGTTGTAGCTCAGTGGCAACATGTTCCAATTTGATGGTCTTCTCTTCTACAAGGTCTCTAATAAAGTGATGTCGTATGTCAATATGTTTGGTCCTGCTATGCTGAATGGGATTCTTGGATATGTTGATTGTACTCAGATTGTCACAGTACAATGTCATAACATCTTGTGTGACATTATACTCAGTGAGCATCTGTTTCATCCATAACATTTGAGAGCAGCTACTGCCAGCTGCAATATATTCAGCTTCAGCGGTGGAAAGAGACACACAATTCTGTTTCTTGCTGAACCAGGAAACCAGATTACTTCCCAAAAAGAAACATCCTCCAGAGGTGCTTTTTCTATCATCAGCACTACCAGCCCAATCAGCATCACAGTAACCAGTCAGAGTTGGTTCACAGCCATGAGTATACAACAATCCATAGTTGTAAGTACCACTTACATACTTCAAAATTCTCTTCACTTGATTGATATGACTGACTTTGGGATCAGCTTGGTATCTAGCACAAACTCCAACTGCAAAGGCAATATCAGGTCTGCTGGCAGTTAAGTACAACAAGCTTCCTATCATGCTTCTGTACAGACTTTGATCCACCTTAACCCCACTTGAATCTTTGGAGAGCTTTAGATGAGTAGGAGCAGGAGTTCTTTTGTGACTTGCATTCTCCATACCAAACTTCTTTACAATATTCTTAGCATACTTGCTTTGAGATAAGAAGATTGAGTCCTCCATCTGTGAGACTTGTAGTCCAAGAAAATAAGTTAGTTCTCCCATGAGACTCATTTCAAATTCAGCCTGCATCTGGTCAGCAAAGTGTTTAACCATATGTTCTGACATTCCGCCAAACACTATGTCATCAACATATATTTGGGCAACCATCAACTTCCCTCCTTCAGTTTTGACAAATAGAGTTTTGTCCAAGCCTCCTTTTCTGTAGCCTTTGTCTGAGAGAAACTTTGTTAACCTGTCATACCATGCTCTAGGAGCTTGTTTTAGCCCATATAGAGCTTTTCTCAATTTGTAGACATGATCAGGATGGGTTGGATCCACAAAACCTTTAGGTTGTTCCACATAAGCTTCCTCATTTAAGTACCCATTTAGAAAGGCACTTTTCACATCCATCTGAAATAACTTGAACTTCAGAAGACAAGCAATTGACAACAAGAGTCTGATTGATTCCAACCTGGCTACAGGTGCAAAGGTTTCATCAAAGTCAACCCCTTCAACTTGGGTGTATCCTTGAGCAACAAGTCTCGCCTTATTTCTGGTGACAACTCCTTCAGCATCTGACTTGTTCTTGAATATCCATTTTGTCCCAATGATGTTAGTTCCTTCAG